GATAGACTAGTAATCATGCGGGACACGACGACGACGAGACAGTCGAGATCGTAAGTATTTATATTTTTTTAAAAGTTGGAAACTTAGTTTTTAACTACATGGTACCGAACTAACATGTTATTATTCAATTGCATGGGTAATTGCGGTATGTTCTCAACAAAATATATTGAATTTTTGAGTATAGGACATAAGGTTGAAGGAATCAACCAATCATGGATACAAAATTGGAAGAATAAATTAGTGTGCCATTTGTATGAATTCGAATGTAATCCGTAAATATTGTATATTTAATTGTTCATTTATTTATTAAATAATTGTATATATTGTAAAATTCATGTAAACATTGTATATTTAATAGTTTATCCATTTATCCGATACTTATAAATATTGTAAACTCATGTAAATATTGTATATTTACTTATTTATTCATTTATCAAATATTTGCGCTCTTGATTCCTCAACTACGATTTTGTACAATTTGGTCCTCATTTTATAGCAATACCATTACACATCGGTCTAATTGTCATTTAGGAGAATCTGACTTGTACAAAATTAATGAGTATGCCATGTTACTCCACACCTGCAGCACCTACGCGGTCGAGGAAAATCTCTGATAGATGGTAATCTAGACGTACGTGGACGTCCGGATCACACGGTTCAACTTGCGGTGGAAATAAACTATTAAGTGGGAGAATATGGTCGGGAACTTCCCACTCTGCTTCATTTGGCAGGGGAAATATCGTTTCGGCATACGCTGCTTTCCAAAAATCAGTCGTGTAATAAACACTGCATAAGGCGTGTGTCGGAATCCCTTTGGGAGAATATGGTCGGGAACTTCTCATTCGACGTCTTTAGGTAGAGGAAATATAGTCTCAATATACACTGCTCTCCAATAATCAGCCGTGTAATGAGGAGAGCAAAATGTTCTCTCTACAAAGCCTTTATACATAGTCACTGCGACTGCATGCTCACATGAAAAACTCTCTAACTGAAATCGATGACAAGTGCATGTGTTATCAGTCAAGTCCACCACGTATGTCATGTTACGTACACATTTCACAGAGAAGCGCAACTCATCTAGTGGTTCGACATTCAACTTTCTCGCAAGATCTACAGCTTTAAAGAGTTTATCCTCTTGAGTTGGGCCTAGCACGCTCATGCAACTTTGTGATTTTTCACGTCGGTCATGAAACCACTGCTACAACTTGTTATGAATATTCTCAATCATTGCGATGATTGGTAGCTATCGATCTTTCTTGAATAATGTATTGAGAGACTCCGCATTATTTGTCGTCATCATGTTGTATTGACGTTCTGAAAAATGTGATCGTTCCCAGTGTTCAATACCCATTTTTGTCAGATACTCTCATGCCGGTAATGATTTACTTCATATTTCCACCATGAACTTATTACACTTTTCAACACTATAAGATTCAGCCACTCTCCTGAACAATGAAATGATGCATTTGCCTCGATACTTAGTCTTCAGGTTGCCTTGTATATGGTATATACAATATCCATGATGTGCATCAAAAAAACTTCAGTGATACCATTTATTATAGATGGTCCCCGATCAGTTACAAAGGCAAGGTCCTCGACCTCTTCGATTACATCCCTCAACTTTGTGAAGAACCAACGCATCAACAGATCATTTTTACTATCGACTATGACGAATGCAAGAGGGTAAATTTCGATGTTGGCGTCTTGACATGTAGCAATAATTAACTTGCCTTCCCATCTAGCTTTTAGAGTTATATCATCGACTAGAATTAAGGATCACATCGCATTTCAAAATCTCAGAATGCATTGTTCAAGAGTCATGAAGAAAAACTTAAAGCAATTCTTACCCTCCATCTCAATAAAAAATGTCAAGTCAGGATTAGTTGTTCCCATGTTATGGTAATACCTGGACAATTTAGCATAGCTCTCCTCGATCGAATCCATTAAATCCTCCAACGCACATTCTTTTGCTTTCTAGGCCTTCGGTAGCTTATGACCACTTCATACTATCGACGGATTTCGTTAATGATGTTCGAAGGTCTGTAGATCGTCTGAAGGTCTTGATATTTGTGTATTATCTGAAAATCAATAAACAATGCTCGAGCTTGTCTGTGATCATTTCAACGAATTTCAATTTTACAAGTATGTTCCCGATTATACTTGCGAAGTACAAAGAATTCATTCGTATCCATTTTTGTTGCTCGCAAACGCCAACGACAACTGTCGTTGACGCAGACAATCGTCAACAATGACTTGTTTGATTTCTTAACTTTGAACTCAAAGTTGTATTTTAGTACAATTCAATGCGCAGCTTCCTGTAAATCTTTCGTTGTTTCAAATAGTCGGTCGATATACAAATCCTCATAATCGGGAACCACACGCTAAGAATTAGATGACAGTCCACTCGTTCTAGCCCATGCGCTCCGACGCCACTCATTTTATCTGACATGATAAAGCAATCAAATCCTCATTTGTAAATTCACTGTCATTCTCGTTGTCGTGAACTACCCACAGAATTCTATGTATAACAGTGAGATCACGATAAGAAACAATTGGCTTGGAATAACCACATCATCCTCACGAGCTATCTCCACTGTATCCTAAAAATCATTGGCATTGTGATCCCCTTCAACCAAATCGTCGTGTCCACCTTCGCTGACATCCTTCCTCACTAAAGTCACCTAAAGAGGAGTCGTGTAAATATAGATAATTCACTTCTTCATCACAAGTAACCTTTATAGGTGGAATTGGAATAGATGAATCATCCTTGAATCGAAATCTCAATTCCATATCGTACTGAGAGGGATCGACATTCAGCTTGTTTTGTAAATCATTATACATTCCCACATATGTTGTACTCTCCGTTATAGAAATTAGAATATCACCACGTTTATCACTTGTCAATCTCCATACCCATTATCTTTCTCATCCAATTCGAAGTCACCAAAGAAACAAACTGACATTACAACTATATCTGCAAAACGAAACATAATTTTTTTAACAAAATACACAATCATTCGGCTCAACTGAGGAAACAGAAATTAAAAAAAAGGCGGAACAACCTAAAAACAGTCGGCCATTAAGAGCTGAAACAGTCGACTGTTCCAGCTTTTTTAACGGTCGGATGTTCCTACTGTTTAACGTAAAAAAAATTATGGTTTTTTTATCGATTACAACGTATAAAAATTTAACGAAAATGAAATAAAACATACGTAAATATATTTATCGATTCGAAGTGATTGATATTAAAAAATATTTCATTTTTCAGCATTCGATAAATGTTAGAAATTTTGAGGTTGAAGCAAATGAAAGTTGAGAGAGTTTTTATCTGTGTTGAAATAGACAGTTTGTTAACAATAAATGAAGTGGTGTTGGAATAGACAGTTTGTGGGGTTACAAGGTGTGCAAGCGAAACATGCACACATTTAAAGAGTAATTTTTCATAAAAACTTTAAATTCGGTACATGGAGGAAAAGAAATCGAGACATATTTACAAGTTTCCCTAGAATAAAGTACTCATTAGGAGGAGTTGGGTTCCAACTTCCAACAGAATTGCAAAAATCTACCAAGTTACCATCCCTAGAGACACTTGATAAAGTTTGTACTTTTTGCTCGAGTCGATCATGGACAATTTATGTAAGAGAGTGCTTGTAGCCTTCCAAGAATTGGCACAACCTTCTTCATTTATTGTTAACGAAACACAAAAATGCAAATGAGGATTTTATGTAATTTAGGGTTAATAAAAGAGTGGGGACAATTGTGGATTAGGGTTTCCAAGAATGTTGAACTTTAACAAAACACACCAATAAGAGCCAATGGTCAACCTCTTGAAAGTGACAAAAGAGAATGAAAAATTCCATTATATGGTTGTTGACCTGACCTAGTTGGACAAGTTGAACTATGTGACTTAACCCGTCTTTGAAGAGGTTCGTTATAATATGCATTTTTTGACAGGTTAATTTGGAACTCGTAAATATTTGAGGTTCAATACAGTTAATTTAGAGATTTTAAAAATCCACGATAAGAAAACTGGGCCCATTAATTTATTTATTTTTCAATTTTATTTCTGTTTGGTTAAACGGAGATCTTGATAATAGTTAGTCGACCACAACTTGGCTCTCAAGAGTCAAGATAGTTCAACCCATTTGATGGCCTCTTGGGACAAGGATCAGTCTATAGTTAGCTAAAAGATTAATTTCAAAGAAGTGGTTATTAATTTGCATTTTTAATTCCAATGTTGTAAACCATGTTAGTTTAATGTAAAGTAGTATTCTTGATCGGAAGGATTTCCACTTTATCTAAATAAATTTAAAATAATTACTCTTTGATCATTTCAAAGTACATTCATAAAATCTTTCAATACATTACCAATTTATCACTCCTTAAATATAGAATGTAGGGTGCGAGACATACAAGTTTTGTCTTGGTGTTTCATAATACTACAAAGGCTTCTCACTTTTTACCACTAGTCGAGGTAGATATTTCCAATGTAACAAACATGCATGGGAGGTAGCGTGGGTGGGGGATGGAGTAGGGTGGGTGGGTGCGCCATTTGACACAAAAACTTGTCCTAAAAAAGACAAGAAATTTAGGGTTCCTTGGTGGAAACAAATGGACAGGCTCTTGCTTTATTGTTTCTCTTTGTCATTTTAAATACGTACACCTATACTTATGTATATATATATATATATATTTAAGAAAATCTCTTTTTTCAACTCTTTCACTTATGTATATATATATATATTTGTTTTGCTTCATTTTCTCTGGTGTGGGCGATCATTGTGAGGCCATATCCATATCCACATTTTTCATCTTATTTTGTAAGCGGTAGAACGTCCTCGGGAAATATAAGGTTTTCAAGATATTGATCTTGAGCTCGACCCATATGAAAAGTTGTTAATGTTAATCGAGTGCTCACGTGCATGTTCTGCAAAAAAAACATCCATTCAAGTCATCCAAAATCTGCATTTAATTCTTCCTTTGTTCATTTCTTGGTACAAATGTCTATCGTATCCTCTCTTGTTCTTGTTCTTCTATGTTTTTCTTTCCATGGATGCTATGCAAGAAGTTTTGGTGTGATGAACGAGGAGCCTACTAAAAGATTTCTCTTCTCTACAAAGGTTTGCAATTTTTCTAAGTTGTTAATGATAGACCATTCGGGGTTTGTTTAGTACTTTAGATTGAACATCACTAGATATGATTAAGAAAGAGAGACATTATTCATTATCTCATCTAGTCTTGTAAGAATATCACACCAAATATGCTTCTAATATCGTTACTGATTTTGATCCTTGGTTTTATACAGAACGACGAAAAGTTCAACTTCAATCCCACTAGGGTTTCCGTTGGATCCGACACGAAATCTTCCTCAACCACACCAATAGATGAAAAGGCATTGAAGGAAAAGAAAGTCGACGAACACAATTTCAAGACAAGTACTAAGAAGAGAGTAATAGTACCAGGTGACACTGAAACTGATCAGTCTGCGTCTTGGAGGATGCCTCACAAGAAAAGTGGACAAAAGGATCCTGGATTTAACTTGGATTATTTACCACCAAAAACTCATCCTCCAGTCCACAATTGATCGGCTTCCCGACTCCCGTGAAGTAAATCACTGCACCTACGTACGGTCCAACCAGTCGAGCTAGAGAGAATCAATAGATTTCTTTTCGGAATTGAATCAAGAATCTGTTTGGGGACATAGAATTAATCTAGAGGTGCATTTCTTGATCAATTACTACAGACTATCTAACAATTTTCTAAAATATATTCTATATTTCAAATGCTTCTTTTTTTTCTGCTCATATTTATCCTTCAACATTTATCTTATCATCCTTGATCTTCATCTTTTACAAACAAGGTACATTATAGTCATATTCATTAAAACTGTCTAATTCAACTTACCAAATATCTCGTGAGTGATTGCAGTAATTATACACTTGAGGTATTTGAATAAATTTCTCTTTCTTTTTTAATTGTGTCACAAATAAAATATAATTATAACAGATAGTTAAATTCAAATTTATTAATAAGATTTTTTTGGCTCGTTAATAAATGATAAATATATCATTTTAACTTTTATAAATCAGCTAACTCTTAACTAATACACAAAAATAATTAATTACAATAAATTATAAAGTAAGTATTCTACATAGTATAAAACGAAAACAAGACACGAGGCGCAACAATTTCAAAGCTGTTTCCACTGCTCATAAAATTTATTATTATTATTATTCAAATTACAAATCCCAATTCAAAAAAAAAAATTACCTCAAAAAATGTATAATTTCAAACTCGAAAATTGGTGTATTATAATCAAAGCAAACCTCCTATGCTCAGATCCCTAAATAGGACTATAATTAAATAGTACATTATTATTATTATTTTCTTCGTAGCAGCAAAATTATATGTCAAAATAAATATTTCTATTGCCAAAAATTACAACAACAACGGAATAGATTCAATTTTAAGCTATGAACCTTAGCTTAAAACATAAAATTTTCCGAACCTGACTCGCACCATCAATGTATTAAATTAATAATCTCATTAAATTCATAAGATAATAATTTTGTTTAAAATTATTTAGTGTCCAAAGAAAACAAATATAATAATTGATAAATACATAAAAAAAAAATTATGATACATATTAGTGATTTTTCACTTGAATTTAATATTTCTCTGAAAATATGCATATACAGTTGCTTATTATTATTTTTTCTTTTTTATACTAAAATCGACCTCAAACCCTTTTTTATTTCAATGTCCACATTTGGTATTTTATTTTCATTTATACAAGTATTTACTTGAAATGCGTCCTTTGGATAAATAATTCGTAAAACACACGTATCATCTAAATTATGATCATCATAATTTATTTGCCAATAGATTATTCCATCATCATATAATTTTCACTAGGATAATTCAAGAGGTGCTTGGTATCTATCCTATTTTTGTATAGTAATGTTATATAGTTCAACTGGAGTTGCAAGTTGCAACCCCAGTCTAGATAGTAAAGCTAAATAGCATTACTCATTTTTATAGCATTGACTAGAAATGACTTCATGTAATTTATCAATAAGTTAATAAATTATCTATTAATCGATAAGTTACTAACACCATTAAAGTAATTTTTCTCGATTCCAATATTATTTTAATCCAAAAGGAAAATGTAATGGAATTTCAAAATTTGTTCCTCTCAATGGCAAGAACAATTTTTTGGGTAGTTATATTCATATCACAATTTTTACTATTTGCAATATATTTTACTTGTAAAGAAAGTTTTCATTTTTGCTTCTTTTTCAATTATATCCCCAGTTTTTTCATCAGATTTTTAATCTAAACTTCAATTAAATTAGCACCATCTTAATTTTTATGTTACGGGTCTGCGCCGACCCGCTACCTCACCCTCCACGTGTCATCGGAGGTAACCCACACCAGCCACGCGTCGGACGGGGTGATTGCCCATGGGAAGAGCTGGCTGCATATGCCGAAGTGATCCCAACTGGACGAACTGAATAGGCGTCAGCAAACGAATCGGACTCATCTGCAAATATATCACGGATGCAAAGGCCACGCCTCGTCGAAGATCTCTTGTACAAAGAGCTTTCAAAAGTCAAACCATTGGATGGGACGTGTGGCAGGACCCAAACGGTCAAATCAACTGCTTGTGTCATAAACATTCAATGCTAGCCAACCTACGGAGGGATGTATTGACACTTAGGATGGGACGAGCCCTGAGAATTTGGCAACACGTGTCTCCTCATCCAACGGCTCTCTTCTTCCCATCCTTAATATAAATACCCCCACCTTACGCTTGAAGAAGGATTGGAATTCAACACACTCAAAACTACCACTACATTGTGAAATTAAGTATTCTCCTCCCTCGAATATTATTATTTTTCGATATACACTTTGTCAACCACTTCCTGGTGAGTGTTCCACCACACCGCCAGTGAACTCTTCTTCGGTTGAACTTTAAACTGAGTTGACCTTTTGCGGCCGCTCCCAACCCCTCCGAGAAAGGCCACGAGTGACTACCGACGTGTCAGGTGTGCAGGAAGAGCTGACTTGAAGACATTTTCTATTGGCCACGTGTCGGAGTCATTTTTTGAGGTCAACAGATTGGCGCCGTCTGTGGGAACATACTTTAACTCGAGTCTTCTCACAAAAAAGTTGCTTGAATAGTCGGTTGATACTCTCCCTTGAAAAAGGGACTGGTTCTTGAAAAATGATCATTTGTACATCACTACTCTCGCTTTGGACCATGAGCTTCAACGAAGAAAAGGTGAATACAAGGAGAACAAAGGATGTATCTGAAGAAGAGATTATTCGGACAAATGTCACACAGCAGTGGCCTCAACACCGTTATCGAAGAGGTGGTAGGACTGCCACGCGCTTAACTGCAGAGGTGGCCCACCTGGCTGCCAACATGAGAACCAATCGCAGCCCAGAATGCAGCTATGCAAGAGCTCCTCATGTAAGTACAAAATCAGGACGAATTTCAAGCCCCCTAAAATCTTCAACAATCAGCCCATAGGCGAACTGAGGCTGAATCCAGCAGGAGAACTCACCTTAGTCCCTAGGGAGAAGTCTCTGCTGAAAGAGAAGTGGGGATGGATACCTCCCACTATACAGCCGCTCCGGCTGAAAGCGCCTCTACAGGTGAATATAATTTCCCACCGGAGTACGAGGAGCAGCCCCAAAGGTCTACCAGTGTTTTTGATCGGATCGGACGGACGCCTAGAAATAGGAACCAGCCCGTGAACCAAACGGCCCTCTAGCAGGACCGCGCACAAAAGTAAAGTCCAAGCAATTCTCCTAGAAATAGGCGGGAGAGGCGGAACATGAGGGATTGGGAAAATAGGGTTGAAACTGCCTAGCATCCACCTCGCCTAGCAACGAATGGGTATGTCTGACGAACCATACAGGTCATATGAACTTGATGATGACAATTTTCCCTTCTCCAGGGAACTTCGCACATTTTGGATGCCTCATAACTTTGTCCCTCCTAAGATTCCCAAGTACGAAGGGAAAGGCGATACGGAGAAGCATCTCAACAAGTATAAAACTCAAATGAGCCTGAAAGGCGCCTCACCAGCTTTGAAATACAGGGCATTCCATCTAACCTTAGGAGGAGCTGTGGAAGTATGGTACAACAGATTGGCACAGCTTAGCATAAGAAGTTGGCCAGACCTGAAAAAGGCATTCCTAAACCAGTATCTTTCTAGGAAGAAGGGAGATGCGTCAATTCAAAGCCTGCAAGACATGAGGTAAGTAGTATGGGAGACCTTGAAGAGCTACCTCGCTCGCTTTACTGATGAGATAACCTACTGTGAACAAGTTACAGACAAGGAGGCCCTTTCAACCCTGAAAGGAGGGTTGAACATAAACACTTTGTTCTGGAGAGATGTCCGAAGCAAGAATCCTTTGACGTATGAGCATCTACCTCGCCTAGCAACCGATGGGTATGTTTGACGAACCGTACAGGTCATATGAACTTGATCATGATGATGATGATGATGACAATTTTCCCTTCTCCAAGGAACTTCGCACATGTTGGATGCCTCATAACTTTATCCCTTCTAAGATTCCCAAGTACGAAGGGAAAGGCGATATGGAGAAGCATCTCAACAAGTATAAAACTCAAATGAGCCTGGAAGGTGCCTCGCCAGCTTTGAAATGCAGGGCATTCCATCTAACCCTAGAAGGAGCTGCGGAAGTATGGTACAACAGATTGGTACAGCTTAGCATAAGAAGTTGGCCAGACCTGAAAAAGGCATTCCTAAACCAATATCTTTATAGGAAGGAGGGAGAGGCGTCAATTCAAAGCCTGCAAGACATGAGGTAAGCATCATGGGAGACCCTAAAGAGCTACCTCGCTCGCTTTATTGATGAGATAACCTACTGTGAACAAGTTACAGACAAGGAGGCCCTTTCAACCCTAAAAGGAGAGTTGAACATGAACACTTTGTTCTGGAGAGATGTCCAAAGCAAGAATCCTTTGACGTATGATGAGTTAGGGGAAATGATGAAGGTTGAGATTGTCAACGAAGAGATGATCGACCACTGAAACAGGGCTCTCACCTCCTCATAGGCAGATAGGTAGGGGACCTACCTCTCAAATAGTGAGCCATCAGTGGACTCAGGCCAGACATACTGTGGCTCCCACTTCAGGACAAGCACTAACCACTACCACTCTGAATGCACTCCCCACCTTAGCTTATAATTATGTTGGGCCAAACACAAGCAATCCAACTAGAAACACTGGATGACTCTCAACATCTAGAAATAGAGGAAGATGAGGGAGGCCAAGAGATAGGCCCTAGGAAGTGTGACCCTACTGCACCATTCATCGATATTATGGTCATGACACAAGCGAATGTAGAGCGACAAATAGGCCCACAAGCAACCCCATGACTCCAGAGATCAATGTTATCAGGATAACAATTCGAGGCAAAGCCCCATCGAAGAAGTGAAACAAGGCGACACTCCCCCCATAACGACAAAAATAGTGATAGGGACGGGTCCCGAAACTGGCAAAGCCCTAGGAGAGATTCAGCTACCTCGAATGAGCAGCAACCCATT